AACCCAAGCTAATGCCAACGCAGAGTCGGGATCCTTTGCTGCCTACGGGGGAGGTCTTTTGAGTTCGGAGAATTTGCTTTTTCATTCAGAGTCATAACTAGCTCCCTGCCAAATAACAAGCCTATCGTGAGCAAGTTCACTCCTCAGTTCTCTTCTGTCATTTCTCTGCAACCATCTTCCTCCCCTGACCCCCACCACACACACACACACACACACACACACACACACACACACACAGAGTTTCAGGCACCTGTGCCCCCGTGAATCACAGTTCTGGTCTTCTACTCCCATGGAGTTTATAAATGGCCCGATGTGCATCAAAACAGCCCCGCGATAACGTTAATAACTCTCCCACTGACATCTGGGGGAATAGCGACCCTTAGCAAAATTCCAGTATTTCGGAACATTGTATTCTTAGTCTGTCTTGAGCTTGTTTCTGAATCCAGAGTGAAGGTTTTGCTTTCTCAAGCCAATAAACACGGGAGTGCTGAGTTGCCGAAGCTCTGTTTTTTTGTAATGGTGGACTGTTCCAAACAGGCACTGCCCGCTTTATTTTTTAATTTTTATTATTTATTTATTTATTTAATTTTAAGGAGGTTCCAAGCCCAATGTGGGGCATGAACCCACAACTCTGAGACCAAGTGTTGCCTTATCTGTAGGCGGAGCCAGCCGGCACCCTGCCCGTTTCCTGTATTTCACGTCCACAATTTGGAGTGATTGAAGTGAAGGAATCCTGTCACCGTACTTCACGAGGTCAACACACGTGTAAGAGAGCACACACGTAGGGAGCCCACACACTGGAGCATTCTGAAGCGGACCTGCCATAGTGCGCTCTTTGTCTAGTCTTCTTGTCTCGATCCTGATAATAATGATAATAATAGTAACCGTAACTATTACTGTTACTACTACTACTATTATTACTATTATTGATATTACTTAGTCTTTACTTTCTTTTGGTCAGATGAAATAGCTCCTACCCCGTCTAACGCTATGCTACTTGCTTCCCTCACTATGGCGGCTCACTGAGGCTGAATGACCCGATGACAAAAGTAACTGGCACCGGACACTCCCACCAAGGGACCACAGAGAAGGTACACCCACCTAATCACTTGCTTCTTGGTTTACACTACCATCGGCCCCTCTGTGGGGAAGCAGCATCAGCGAGGACCCCAGAGATCACGCACACCTCAATGCTAAAAGACGTCTACGCAGTCTGACCAAGACAGTCCTGTGCTGATAGCCATGGTCTACAACGGTGCTGTCCGACACATCATGGCCACCAAGCCCCTGAAATGAGGAACTAAAATTATAGCTGTATTCGATTGTAATTAAGTAAAATTAAAAGAGCTAGTGGCTACCACATTAAACACGCTCTAGACACACAGACTCACCACGGCATCTCAGAGATTTTACCTTGTCCCTGAAATATGTGAATCTGATCATCCTCAAAACTGGGTTTACGACCATCGCACTTGAGACTGTCTCTGGAAAATACTACAGTTCCCACAAGGGAAGACATTTTCTGTGAGGCTGTAGCTGCACAGAAAAGGCACAGCGGCTTCTCAGAGGACATGGGGCTGGCTCTTCTGCAGTCACCAGGGGTTACTGAATTCGGGACAGGGTTCCCAGGGGCGGGTGTGAGCATAGTCCTGGCTTCTAAGCCACAAGCAAAGAGCTAAAAGAAGGGTTTCTGAGTGGCTTGAAAGACTATCTTGAAAAACAAAAACAGTGGCAAGAAACCAGTGGGTGTCCTGTCAGCCTTAAGCAACTCTTACCATTGGCCAAAAGAACAGAACTAACTGCTGACTTGAAAGGAAAAAAAAAAAAAAAGACAAAACAAAATATGAGAAAAGAACTAAATCAGAAAATATCTGAGGCATGTAAGTTGTTTCCACAGACACTTCTAAGCAAATAGGCTGTGTAGGATATTACAACATGGCTCTTCTGTCGTCCTTTTCTTCCCCCCTTGGCTCTCCTGATGCCCTCCACGCTCCATGGAGACACCGCCTTTCCTACAGGCAGTGACTTCTGCTTGGCTACCCCATAAGGGGGTGAAACATATGGCACACTTCTCTGAAAGAGTGTCTCCTCTTTGTGGAGTGTCGAAGTGTCGGGGACACGGGGCTTTTGGCTTTGCCTGGGAAGGTCCAGCATCTGTCTGCCCCTGATCAGGCACAGCTGTTTCCTCTCTCCTGACTGCTCCCCTCAGGCACCCCCCCCTTTCTTTTAAAGAAAGGACCACCCTGAACAGAAAGGGCTTTCTATCCTCCCCTGCTAAAAGCCCCATATTGAGCTTTGCAAGGAGAAGGAAAGCGGCAAATACAGCAAGTGACTTTTTAAAAGCATCCGAGGATAGAAGGAAGGGTTCCGAAACTAACAGTACAAATTGCGTTTTCTGGAAACAGGTGACAAGGGCCACTTTTTCAAATTTCAGGGATTCCTCTGGAAGAGGAAAATAATTATTTTCCTCCTCAGCATCTTCAGGGAGAAACAACATTAGATGGAGCAGTTCCTTATGGCCCTCATTTTCTTTCTGTCCCCATCCAGCCAGCCCACGGCTGGAATTCTGCCCGCTCTGCGAGCTTGCTCTGGAAAGCCCTCCCAAACCGCAGGGTGTAATGAATCAACTGGAATGAGGACAAGAGCTAGAATTTCCAGCCGGTAGCCCGGGCGGTGGAAGGGCCACTCAGGTGAGGGCGAGGCCTACGCCAGGTGGCGGAGGGGGCAAACGGGCAGTGGGGCTGAGGTGAAGGCCAGGCTCAGATGGGCAGTGATGGGAGCTCTCTGGGGAGTGTCAGCTGCTAACTGGTGGCCTTGTAGCCCGGACAGGGCTGGCCTCCGAGAGAAAATCTGCTCAGGAGAGTGTGAGGGAGAAGGCCAAATTTTTAGGGAGAACCTGAGTAAGAGCCAGTAAACCTCCCCATGCTGTCGTCTCGATCCCTTCATTCCAAGTATCTCCACCGAGCTGCCCCCTCAGACCCCCCTCACGCAGTGCGCAGGCGCGTGCATGACACTCCCGGTACACACCTCAGTCACACTCAACCACACACACACACACGCACACACACTCAGAGGTTCCCATGGAAAACATGTACACAAACACAAGCGCACACATATTCACTGATACATGTGCACACACACACACACACACAGAACCCACAAACACCTTGAGAAAGAAACACATAAGCTAATGTATACACACATACACCCGTAACCCCACACACTAGGCCTATACACGCGGATGCATACCCCGCACACCTTCTTTAGGTTCAGATACAAAGTGGAGGTTGGGAAAAACAACCAATTAATTGGGCCAGGTCTCAAAGGAGAGGAAATGAAATGAAAAATCCAGGCTGGGTTATAAAAATAAGTATTTTTTTTTTCCAACGTGCAGGAGGCTCATTATATTAATTAAACATTATTGCAGTGAACGAGAGGGGGGAGGGTGATTAAGGCTGGTATGAGGGTAAGTGTTCTCTCCTGTTGCCCGAGGCCACGGTGATCTTCAGATATTAATCTCTCTGAGCACTCAAATGCTGAAGAGATAAACACTTGAAATATGAAAATGTTTTTCTCCAGAGCAGACGCTGTGACCCTCCAGGAAAGCAAGTGCAGGCTGTGTCAGGAGGCCGGCCCGCAAAGCTCTCTTGGCATCTGTCCCACTGCCGTCCCCTGGGGGCAGGGGACACCCCCAGTCCCTGGGGTTGAGGGGCAGCAGAGCAGCTCTGGGGAACCCTGCAGAAGGGGGGGCTCATCCCCCTTTTATTCTCTAGTGAGGCAACATCTGATCGACTAATTCCCAGAATGGACCCCTTTCCTCTCCAATGCTTATAGGGTTCTGAGGTCCAGGCCAGGAGTGTAGAAAAACGAAAACCTAATGCACGGTGCTAGAGCCAATGTGCGCTGGCTTGCGAGAGCCGGCTGCTAAATTTTCTGGAATTTTGTGAGGCAGTTGTGAAGCACAGTCATTATTGAACATTAAATGACACAAAGTTACCATTAAATAAGTTACATTAAAAACAAAAGTTCATAAATCCTCAAAACTCAGCACTTGCTCAGGATTTGGATCCATCTTGCCAGTCTCTACGCTCCTGAGGTCACTCCCAGCTCTCGGAGCTGTCTGACGGCCGAAAACCATCAAATGGTCTTCATACACCCACCTCCGCCTCTGCTCATGTCCTGGCGGTAGCTTAATCACAGGGGATGGTGATGCCCCTGAAAGTGGCAGACAGGACAGGCTGGGTTTCTCTTTCTCTCCCATCCCCGGAGAGCTGGGGGTTCGGCGAGGACCAGAACCTGCTATAAACACACGCTGCGGTGGAGAGAGGACTGGCCTCTTGCTTCCGCAGGCTGAGGAGGGCTCGAGGCAAGCCCCTCTCCATCAGCAGGGTCCGCAGAGGCTGCCCAGACCTGGCCCTCAGAAAGGGCAGCTGAGCAATACGTCAAGGGCTGTCTTCTAGCAACACTCTTCCAGAAGCTGCGTGCCAGGTGGCCCTGCTAGACCCCACGGGTGCAACAGCATTTTGGACCCTCAGCTTGGTTCGCTACCGACGGGATGACCCTCTCCGAGAAGTACCCGTCGGGCTGCAGGCCAGCGGTCTCCTAAGGAGGCATTTTAGGAAGAGCGGCCAGCCTGGAGTCCACGACAGGCTCTGTGGCTCGGCCAGGAGTGCTTAGCTCTGGTGACAAGGGGACCCTGACTCATCCCGTCTCCTGAAGCCTCCCAACTGCTTCCTTTCTGCCTTTCCTTTCTTTCCTCTTGGCCTCTACTGCTCCCTCCCGGCTTCCGGGCTGCACCGTTAATCCCAAGCCAGGGCTAGGAACCATGACCGTGCTGTTTTATAGGGTGACGCTGTGAGCAATGACTGGTGTTTTGTGGGCGCAGAGCAGAGGACTGCCCTGTGGTGAGAAGTTACGATGCTTGTCAGGGAACCTGGGGCCGGGAGCCCTGCAGCGGGCTGGCCTTAACCCTTTCCTCTCTGGACCTGCCGCGGGCTTACCTGGAAACGTCCGGTCGGTTGGGCTGGAGCTGCCGGGCCAGGTGCTTCTGAGCCACTTGGCATGGTCGTACATCCAACCACAGGGCTCCTCGGGGAAATCAAAGTTGCAGTTGAATCCCGAAGGGAGCTGCAGATCTTTGTCTGAAAGGGGGGGAAAATAACCCAAAGAAGGCAAATGAAATGGGTTCGGACGACAGCCACAGTGGTGCTATTGAAAACGCTGGCAAGGCCTAAGCGAAGTGGCTCCCTTTGCTTATTCATTTAACTCATCTTGGCGATCATTGGCTTTCGGGTCAGCCTTTGGTCTCATCCTTCCCAGGCACGAAAGCCAAGTCTGCCAGTGGTTCCCATAGTAAGCAATTATAAATGAGGCCACCAAATGGCTTCAGGCTCTCTCCAGGCTCTTCTGTCCACCTCAGAGAGCAGACACATGGGAAAATGGCTGTTCCCTAAGTGCCAGAGAAGAATGTCTCCCCAGTGCCTCAGTGGAAGGCCAGCTCCTGCCAACCGGACTCTCACAAGGGATGGGGAGGCCCATTAGCATCCAGAGAGGCTGATGTGCCGGGCAGGTGCTGGGCCAGGGAGGAGAGAGTGAGCTCCGAAACAAGGAAGGCTTGTTTGTCCCCCTTCACCTCCTAGGATAGGTCTTTTGTTCTGCGACACGAGGTCAGCTTGGCATCCCTGTGGGACAGCACTGCCAGGTGGGTGATTTGGCACGGCAGGGCAACGCGAGGGGCCAGAGCAGCCGGCCGCCGGGCTCAGCACCGACCAGGAGAAAAGAACAATTGTGCACGGCACCGAGTGCCCGCGGGCCAAGATCCCGGGGGCAGCAGGGAATGCCTTCCTGGTGGAAATGTCAGAAGGGCCCGCAAAGTGGCTCGTGCCTTCCGCTTGGTTTTTTACCTGTCTAAGCTGGAGGACTGGACCAGAGACTTTCTTCGGAGGCTCCACTGAGCTCTAAAAACCCAGTAGGAGCTGGTGCCAAAGATGTGATGAAGTGCGGGCGGGTGTGGAGGTGGGGGAAAGAGGAAACGGGAATCCAAATTTGGAAGCCTGCCGGCAGCGGCCTCAGAGACAGCGGAAAAGTGCTGGCCAGTGCTAGTAGCGGGGAGGAAGTGGGGTCTTTGGCCTTCTCACTTCCCTTCTCAGGGTTCCCAGAGAGGAATTTCCGTGGGGCAGGTCTAGAATGCAGGTTAGGAAATCTAAAGGGAACAACAGACTGGTGGAAACAAATGGCTCACACCATGGGGGCGAGGGGAAGGGCAGTGCGGGCCGTGGAGGCAGACTGCCACCAAGCCCTGGCTGTGTCTCCCCTTCCCAAGAGAGAGCCCGCCCTTGGCCAATGTCAGCTCAAGTCCAGAAGAAACACATGGAATCGATTACAGAAGCATCAACCTGTGGCTTGGAAAAGTCGGCCCTTAGCCCTCACCCCCCTTCTCCCGCCAATTTCTGAATTTCTATTTTTCCGTTAAAAAATATGGAGTAATTCAATATACCATAATTCCTCTCTCATGTTTACACTCAGACTCTATCTCAGAAACCAAATTCCACAAAGAAACCTTTTGAAAAAAAAAAAAAAATTGGGAGGAACCACCCAAGAAACCTCAAATGAAACAAACCACTATAAGTGGGAAAATTACATTAAACTTCTGAAAGCTTACAGCAGAACTCTTTAAATTTTCCTCTGGAGGGGCGCCTGGGTGGCTCAGTGGATTAAGCCGCTGCCTTTGGCTCAGGTCATGATCTCAGGGTTCTGGGATCGAGCCCCGCATCAGGCTCTCTGCTCAGCAGGGAACCTGCTTCCCCCTAACTCTCTGCCTACTTGTGATCTCGCTCTCTCTCTGTCAAATAAATAAATAAAATCTTTAAAAAAAAAAAATTTTCCTCTGGATTGCCATTTAGATAGAACCCCCTCCTCCTGCCCACCACCGGGCTAACTCTGCTAATCCCATACCATATTAACTCTGTGTGCACTCTACCGTGAGCTCGCGAACTATCTTAAACACGTCTTGGAAGATTCTCCAAGTCTCCTTCTCCTCTTCATAAAACAAAACCAAGTTCATGAAAATGTCAGAATCCTGTATTCAACTAACCCTGACCAATGGTGTCCCCCTCACCCACACATTATACAAAAGAACATTCCTAAAAGCATATGCATTAAATTATCATTTTTCAGTCACATGACTTTAGCGTTTATTTTTGGCTTCCCTCCCATTCTCCTCTGTCGCCATTTTCTGGAGCTGGCCACTCCGCCAGCGGAGTGGCTGGTGTCCGTGAGCTGCAGGTTCTCACAAGACTGTGCCATCTACCCACTGAGTCGACGCTAAGCTGCGTCTCCTCCAAGTCTCTCCAAGTCTCCCCAAGTCTCTCCACCAATCTTCCCTCGTTTTGTCTAATGAACGTTTAATAAGGATCAGTAATTTACTGTAAGTGGAGGCTGTCAAGCCTTAAATTCTAGCCAAAAATGCCAGGTGTTCCAAAATCTGCGGTTTGCTAGGAATGTCCTCATACTTGGTGAGGTGACGTACTTTCGGGCTCTGTCGATTGTTTTAATCTTACTCGGATGCGTTCAGAAGATGAAAGGAAGGTAACACAGAGCTCCCCTGTGAAGAGGCTGATTCAGAATGAGGGGACCCAGAGATCTCAAAGAAGGGTTGAGGTGCCTTTGCACCTCCCTGCCTTTGTCACTGACCTGTGCTCACCTCCCAGGAAGGAGGGGATGGGCCATTTTCTGAAGCCATGACTGTGACTTATTCTCAACCAGCAGTGGGCACAGACCCTGAGAAACGTGGTCACAGAATGGTTACCTGCTGAGTTAACCTGGATTGCCTCCATGGGCCTAGTCATCCCGATGACTGCCAGACCTTCACCGGACTGTACAGTGGAGACACAGCTCAACCCAAAAAAGCTGAGGATTTTAATGATTCAAAGTGAAGGCTGGAAAGGAGACTTCTCAAACGAGGGGTCCTCTCCGGATGGGCACTCATCTCGGCTGGTGACCAGCAGGTTCAAGCCTGTAGGCCGTCCTGGTTGGTTATGAATGCTTGTAGATCGGTTGTAAACAGCCACTGCCTCAAGCCCCTGACTACCCGCACCTCCCTGACCTCTGATCAGGGGACATCCAGGTCCCTGCCCCAGCCAAAGGCCAGCCTCCTCTGATGGTCAGCACTGCACTATCCCGGACGGACGGTGACTCACCATCCTCAAAGCTGCAGTTCTCCCCACACTCTGTGGCCTCCTCCTCGATGGGATATGGGGTCGTGGTCTCCTCGCTCTTCACAGTGGGTCCCAGGGTCTCTACTGTGGGCTTCGAGTCTGCGGAAAGGCGAAGAAAGGGGAAGTGAGTGCTGCACGCGGCAGCCTGCACTGAAACCCAGCAGAAGGAAGATGCCCCAAATGCAGTTTCCTTTCTAAGTGTAGGCTTTTAAAGGAGGAAGATGGACACGCACAGACCCTCACATGCGCGCGCACACACGCACACACACACACTCACACACATCCCTGGAGTCACCTCTGTGTGCTGTCAGTGAAGTCAAAAGCATTGCCTGAGTTGAAGGAAAATAGTCCCAAGCTACAGAACAGCCTCCACAGAGGCAGGGACACAAACCCATGTCCCTGCAGCAAACTCCACAGCAAAGGCCCTGGGGCCAGCACAAAAGCCCAGGTGGGACCGCGATGGATGCCGGGGAAGCTGACCCCAAGGCAGGCTAACCCGTGCTCTGGGTGTTCTGTTTAAGACGGAAGCGTGTGTGATGCACATGTGCGTACACCACACACCCCCCTCCGCTCCACCCCTCTCCCCCACACACAGTGAGTGGTGACCCTCCAACACAGTGAAAAACTCCCACTGCTTAATGAACTGAGCTTCCCGTGCACTGCCCCTGGGGGGGCTGCTGACGTGCCTTGCCGGCCCGTTTACCCTGCTCTTACGTGGAAGAGACGTTCTCTTTTCAGCCTTCTCTGACTCAGAGAGCACTTTTTTGAACCAAAGCTAACTGACCTAGGGGGCCCACCTCTAACGAGATTGTCAGAAGCGCAGCAGCCAAAGCCATGAGCGAAGCAGCCCCAGCTGGGGAGGTGTGACCCCAGCCATTGTGGTTCGTGTTTGCACAAAACTGCACAGAAAGGAATATGAACTCAAAGGGACTCAGACTCCAGTTGGTGGAAGTAATTGCGGCTATGCCTTTAGGTCAGGGTGTGGCAAATTCAAATGCTTTCCGCATGCAAGCAGCTACTGTAAGCCAGCAGCTGCCCAGGCTGGGGAGAGTTTAGGGAGGGACTGAAGGTGGCAGAGGGCAGCTTGCACGCCCTGATTCAAGGGAGGCCACCAAGACTGGCCCCAGCACACTAAAGGCCTGAGGGGAGGGGGCCCAAGGTGGCCGGCTCTTGAAAAAAAAAAAAAAAAAATTTTTTTTTTCCCCAACACGAAGCCAATTCCATTCCCATGGAAGAGCTCTAGACTCGCCCATATTGGCAGCTTATTCAGAGTACTGTCACCAGGAGCTCGCCACAGAACGTGGCCGGGCCACACGTGGCTGCAGGCAGGCAGTTCTGACCTGGTCTCAGGTGATGCCCTCGCCCGTCCATTCATTTGTCGACTTGCTCCTGCCAGTCATTCATCCTCCAACTATTAATGAAATGAATGAAACAGTGGGGCCTCGCCCCTAGGTGGGGCGAGGAGGGGTTCTAGTACCTGGCGGTCAAGTCCGCCGCCTGGGGGTGGGGTCTTCATCCCAGGGCTGCCCTCCAACGGGAGACTCCCCGGATAAGCTCGTGCATTGTTCCGCCCATTCCTATACACGTTCCTTTGCACTATTGCGCGTGGAGAGGCGCCTTTGTCAGGCACACTTTGGGATGCCGTTTAATAAAGCCAGGAGCTGAAGGAAATGGCTAAATACATTGAAAAGCTTTTTCACGGTCGACTTCCCATCTTTCTGCTATTAAATATGACGCACATAACCTTTCATACTTCCCTTCGCCGTGTCTGCCTCTTGCGCACGGTAAATAGCAAATAACCTCGAAGCGTCCTAATTTGTAAGTTCAAATTTGTCACTGTGTCATAGAATCTCAAACTCAATTGTAAAGCAAACTGTGGGCAGCAAAGCAAGAAGTAATCATTTGGAACACAAACAAACCAACAGGGGAAGCAGCCCTTTCGGATTATTTAGTGCAGTGACTCAGGCCAGCCCCATTACTTTTCCTGCTCTCCTCTTGGGGTAGGAACAAAGTGAAGGTTGGGGCAGGGGTGGGGGGAATGCGTCGCAGAGAGGATGGGAATTTTAAAAGCAAAAAAGCCATGTGGCCTGTGGAAGCAGTTTCTGGGGCGGGGGGTCAGGTAGCAGGTTGGTAAAGATCACGTTAAATCCAGGGGCTCAGGGGGCTGACGAGGCAAGGAGGCGTATGAAGGATAGTGAGAAGGCAGGCCGTGTCTGCTGCGCTTTACTGGGAGCTCAGGGGTAACTGCCCGTCAAACTACAACGCTCCCCTCGCAATTGAAACCAGATGTCAGCGACTTCAAAGGGAAGGAGACTGGGTGGAGGCTAAGAAGCCCCAACTCTGATCTTCCAAGGAATGGCCAGGCAGGAATTTGAAATGAGAAACCTGTTGCTGACCATCGCCAGGGTAATTTGGGCCAGCTTGGGAAGCGGGAGCAGTAAGAGGGAAAGGACATTAACAACTGTCCAGCCGGTCGTAAAGCAGGGCCAGGCTGGGAGAGGCATGGCACAGAAGGGCACACCTCTGACAAGTAGCTTCCTCTCTCTGGGACTCAGTTTCCCCATCTGTGATAGAGATGTTGGCCTAGATCTGTGATTTTTTTTTTTTTTTCCCCAAAGTGTATGCCACACTGGTTAGTAGGATGTGGGATCATTGTGATGGGTCATGACCAGAATTTTTGACATGTCAGAGTGTGCTCACGTGGGGAAAATGAACGCTGATCTGGAGACCTTTTGTTCCGGCTGCGTTTACTTATTATCACAGGTTTATTAGATGCCAAGCTGCAGTCTAAGTACTTTATATCCATTATTTCACTGAAACCTAACAATCCTAGGGGGTGCAGATACACTATTATCGTCCCGATTTTGCAGCTGAGATAACCAAGATGCTGAGAGGCTAAGGAACTTGTCTGAGGCCATGTGGCCAGAGAGCAGCAGAGGAAGGTCTCATACTTGGCAATCTGTCCCCAGGGTCCAGCACTTAACAAGACGGCCTAACTTGTATGCATGCATCACGTGCTTGCAAGCCAAGTGGATTGCAATAAAAATTTCTTTTAAATTGTGGATTATGGTCAAAAATGTTTGAAAGCCCCCGGCCTAGAAGCTCCTGGGTCCCCTGCGGCTCCAACCCTTTCATTTCAGAGAGGCCACAAACGGAGCCAGCTTGTATCACTGCTGGAGGGACAGTTTTCGGCACCTGCAAGCAAACAGGTGACTCACATTCAGCAGGCTGCAGGGAAACTTGGCCTTTCCCCCACGTGATGGTGAGTAAAGAATCTTCCTACTAAAATATGTCTGCTGGGCCTGCCTTCAATCCAAAGGTGAGAGAGGCTAATTTGGGCCCGATTTCCAGCCCGTGTGCCTCAACGGGGCTCCTCCTCTGAGCCATCGGAGACCTCACACAGGCAGCAGGCTCCTCCCCGGGCGCCAAGGGTTGCTTCTCCGACGTGCCCTTATTTCCTGCCGGATACCCTGTCAGGGGAGCCGGAGATGGGTGCGGCACAGATGGGAAAATGGAGCTACCTGGTGGACTGAGAGGCAGGGCAGCTCGGCTTGTCCGCTGCTCCTGCTGGCCCTGGGTTCAGGGGGCTCCTCTGAGCTCCTTCTGGAGAGCAGGGAGCCAGCACCAGGTGACATCTCGTAGCAGCTCTGCCCAAGGAGATGTCAGGAGGAAGGGTGGGGTCCGACTGCAAAGCAAAGGGAGCTTCCCGGACACGGGGAGGGTGGGCTTGCGCAGGGGACCTGAGCTGCCTTAAGGGGAGAGTTAGAGGTCTTCCCGGGCCTGGGCCACCGAGGGTGGCAGGGGTGAGGCTGGTGGGGAGGGGGCGGGAAGGAATGAGCAAGACTCCCGCTGCGCAGGGGGAAGAAGTCCTACTCCCGTCAGCTTCCCTACAACAGGGTCCCTCCTGAGAAAATAAATGCCTTTTACAGATGTGGCTTCGAAATGAAAATGAAGTCTCTTAGCCACTGACATCTGGAGGCCAGATTCAGACATAAACCGATTACTTTATTATCATGAGGGGTTTTTTTTTTTCTTCCCTAAATCAACAGCCACAGCCTCCTGGCCTGAAGAGTCAGGGTCTAATTGAATTTGGGTGGGTGGTGTGCGGTTATGATTTGTTTTTGAGAGACTGGGGTTGGGCAACTGAAATGATCCTTTAAAAAAGACAAAGCACATCCCTTTGAGAAACTGTCCCCCCTTCAGAGGCTGTAGTGCCCATGGTGGGAGGCAGAAGAACATGGCAGGGCCTGGGCTGGGTGGGGTTTTGAGCTGACAGAGCCTCACCAGGGAGGGCTGTCCCCTCTGCCCATCCACAACCTCATGGTCTGACCTCCTCCCAGGGCATCCCGGGAAGCCAGGGTCACACGACCATGTGAGCAGGACCCGGAGTGGGAAAGCAGGCCTTACCTGTCCAGTCACAGCCCAGCACCTCCAGCCGCATTCCAATCCCTGCCGGAGACCACCTCTCGGGGTACACCCGCACGTACTGTGCAGGAACAGGGTCAAATCTTCGGATGTCAGGGGTGTCATAGTGCATGTTGCCTTCAAACAGCTGCAAGGGAGATGGGCCACTCAGCAACCTCTCCTGTGGGACCCCTCCCCCTCCTCCCCTTCTTCCCGTTCCTTCACCGTCTCCTCCCTGCCCCTCACACCCATCCAGAAGGCAGCCTCATAGTTGACTCACTGGACATTACAACCCATAGGAGCCCCATCCCCAGACCAAAGTTTTGATTCATTTGGAAGATAGTTAGGGTCCCAGGAACACAGAGAAGAGGGAGCAGATAAAAGGGGCAATTGCTACGTTCTGTCTTCTACCCTGGGACTGGAGATTGTGGACTTGGGGGAAAGACTTCGTCTCTGAATGGACTTGGCTGGAAAGAAGAGAAGTGAATTTCAGGCTGCTTTGCCTATTGTCTTAGAAGTTCTTGCTGTAGGTGTGCCTGGGTGGCTCAGGTGCTTAAGGGTCTGTCTTCAGCTCAGGTCATGATCCCAGGGTCATGAGACGGAGCTCCACGTCAGGCTCTTTGCTCGGCGGGGAGTCTGCTCGTCCCTTTCCCTCTGCCCCTCACCCCGCTCATGCTCTCTCTCTCAAATAAATAAAATCTTAAAAGAAAAAAAAAATTCTTATAATGACTGAAAGTCTAGAAGTAGAAAGTCCCAGCTGACTGACAGCTCCCAGGTCAAAACAAAGCTCACATCGAGCCCCAGGACATGAACTGAGGACAGTGCGGCTGTCCTGGTCCAAGCCAGGTGGGGGACCCAACCCAGAGCACATGTGGGAGCCACTGACTTAGGGCGATGTTGGTGTGGAGACATGCCAGGGATTGGCTGGGCGGCACCTAGGGATGCTACCTACTTTGCAGGATCCCCACAATTCCAAAAGGGGGCACTATTATGGGGAGGGAAGGCCCAGATACTGGCTAAGATCATCTCCTTTCCCAGGCTCCCAGAATGATCGAGAAGAGCCAGGGTCTGTTCTTGCCAGGAAAACCCATGGTCCCGTTTGTGCTCTGTCCCCTGTGGTTTCCAGTTACCAAGTCCTGAGCCTTTCCAGGCCCCTAAAGTGCGAGCTGGGTGTTTACATCAGCACTGCAAAGCCTCCAACCCTGCCCGTGCCTCTGCATTAAGAACGGAAACATTTGCTGAGCAAAGGGGACCAAACAGAGACATGAAATTCCCCCTTCCTCGGTAAAAGAGGCCTGCTCTTCTGAGGAAAATGAGGGTAACTCAGCAGTCAGGATCAGAATGCCTGGCTCCCCCGCCGAGATTGACCTGGAGAGGCATGATATCTTTTCCCCTTGCGGGGGGCTCCTCCATACCCAGGGTCGAGGGCTGCCCCGTACTCCCTGATGGTGGGAGGAGTAGGCTCTGCTGATGTGGAAAGTTTCTCCTGCCTCTCCCAGCCTCCGTATGAGAGGTGGGGAAGGTCTAAGCAGAGACCAGACTAGGAAAATACAAAGGAGCACCGTGACGTTCAAAAAAATAGTCGTTTTTGGAAATAATCCCCTAGGTTCTATACTGAAGCCTCCAAAAACGACATCCCCTTGTGGACGTCTGGCCAATTCCAAGGAAACGTCATCTGAAAGAGCGTGCAAAGGGTGTCAAACCTGACAGAAAGGCAGTGCAGGGTGGTGGGTGGGTATCTGGGCTCTGGAGTCAGACTGAATCGTGGCTCTCCACAGTCACACACTGTGACCCCGGGGGTGACACCGAGCCTCAGTTTTGTCATCTCTAACATGAGAGCGACAGAGGAGCCTTCTTCCAGACATGTTGGAAGGATTAAAATATGGCGTTTAGCAGAGTGGAACAAAGTAATCTCTCAGTTAACATTTGCTTATTAGAACACAGGGAGTCTGGTGACGACTATCTAGTTAGGAAGTGAGCATCCCAAAACTAAGCTGCCCTGTTTGGGATAGGGTTAGGGAGTCTCCAGGGAATGGCCTACCTTCGGCTGCTGGGTCCTGGGGTCCTGGATGTATTCCCAGTCTTTGCCGTTCAGGCTGTAGGAGACTTTGAACTTGCGCACAAACGCCCTGGCTTCCACGGCAGTGATGCTGTCTCCCCCGCGGGCCCCCTGGATGATGACGCCCTTCACCGTCTTGGGCACTCCCAGGTCCACCTGGAGCCACTCCTCGCCTGGCTGGGCCTGAGGGATCCGGGGGAACCAACCCGAGCGGCTGCTGACCAGGCGGGCGGCGCTGGGGCTCCACAGGTACTCGCGGGTGGAGGAGGCCGAGATCTGGGAGTCAGGGATGAGGCCCGACAGCATCCCCAGCATGTTGGAGCAGGGTGCATCTGTGGAGGGGAGGGAGACGCAAGGGCTCGTGGCTGGCGCCCTGCTTGACGGCCACCATCTCCCCTTAGCCGGGAGCTGGGAAAGAACCCAGCAACCACATGTGCAAGTCAGAACTGACGTCTTTGCATTTCGAGCACTGCGGTTACGAGCCCAGCCTAGGGGCCAGGCTAGCTGGGTCCAAGTCTGCTGTGTCCCTCACTACCGGTCTGACATCAGGCAAGTGATTCAGCTGCTCCATACCTCAGTGTATCCAGGTGTGAGGGAGGGCTAGCACCAGAACTTACCTTGTAGGGGCTGTGGCAAGGGTTCCCCCAGTCACCACATAAATGGTCACAGCAGAGTGCCTGGTGTCTAAGCATCTCACACTGTGAGCCAAGGACATGCATATCCTTGCGGTGACACCAGGCCCCCCTGAGCCTCCCAGGGCGGTAAGCACAGGGGAGCTCAGCTGAGCCCTGCGTTGTTTCCCAGATGATTATTTTCCTAACTGGATGGACACTCTTCCGGGATCAGGTCTTTGCTTCCACGTGTGTTTTCATAGCTTTTTACTACCTTGAGTCCTTCGCATATGCTGTTCCTGCTGCTCCAAATGCTTTTCCCCTCTGTCTTCATCAGGCTAAGATTTACCTAAGTATCACACCCTCAGAAAGGCCATCCCCAAACTTCCAATCAATGGTTAGTGGGGTCCCCTCTGCCATCGTTTCTCCGAGCACCTGGTCTTTCTCCTTCATACACACGTCTTAGTTAATAACTATCCAGTACACAATCTGGTTATGATCCACACTGCCCACCAGCCAAAGTTTCATGTGGCTAGAGACCCCCCCTGCTCGTTCACTTCCCCTGTCCACTTCCATTCTCAGGGTGGGGCCTGTTGCAAAGCAGGCCTCCAAGAACACTCGTGCAGTCAATGAGTGGCAGATGCACAGATACATGGTATCCGGCAGGACAAGATCTTGAGTCAGGGTACGTTAGATGCTGCTGAACAGAGCCTCAGGTGAAAACAAGCCTTCTGGAAAGCTCACGGGGTGCAATCATGCTACTGGGCTGAAAGAGGGAGCCGAGCCCAGGACACAACCAGCTCTGCAGCCTCACGGGGGGCCCCCCTTACCTGTGACCCGGCAGCCAAAGAGCTCCAGCCGCAGGGCGATGCCTGAGTGCCAGGTCTGGGGCCGGATCCTGACGAACCTGGTCAGGAGGGGTGTGTGCAGCTTGTTAAGAACCACCTCGGATGCGTCGTTGTTGGCTTGGAATACCTATAGGGTCAGATGGGAAACCGCTGTCAAAATCCATCTGTAGTGTGGCCGCTCACCCGGCCTTTGAAGGGGCTGCAAAAGTTCTGTTGAGCCTTATTTCCCTCAAGCTTATATTAATCAGTGTGTTTGTTGTTTGGGGTTTTATTAGGAGCACCATGGGGAAAAAAAAACCAAAAATGTAATTTCTCACATTGTTCTACTTGAAAACAATAACTGGTCTTCATAAGAACTTTTAGAGGAGAGAAAAACTTTGCCTCTGGGCTGAGAGCAAGCAGAAGAAGGCACCTTAAAAGATGGAGCAGAACGGTCATTTTTTTTTTTTTTTTTTTAAGATTTTATTTATTCACTTGACAGAGAAAGATCACAAGTAGGCAGGGAGGCAGGCAGAGAGAGGAGGAAGCAGGCTCCCTGCCGAGCAGAGAGCCCGATGCGGGGCTCGATCCCAGGACCCCGAGACCACGACCCGAGCCAAACGCAGAGGCCTTAACCCAGTGAGCCATCCAGGCGCCCCCAGAACGGTCATCTTTTAGGGCTAGTGAACCTCACTAGCTTGAACTTGATTCTGCCCCTCCCTCACGGTGTAGGCATACAGGCATATTTGCAGGGTGTTTTTAAAGTGCTTCACGGTTGTTTTCTTAGTTACTTAGAGGCCTCCCTGCTCCACAAACTGGGGAGAGCATGGCGGAGGGCACCATCTACTCCTCCGGGCTCTATGTCAATCAACACTTTCTTGGTTCCCTCTGGTCTTTGTTGGAGGGTCAGGCTTGCAGACAGTCTCTCAGAATCCTGCCCTGGCTTCCTCTCATTGTGGTCCCACCCCATAATGAAATCCATCCCTGTCCCCATCTGACCAGTGCCTCTCTTAGGGGAGAAAAGGCTTTTCGGAGTAGCTTCCAAGCCAACATGGTAGGAGCAAGTCCTAGTTGACCAGATGGCCCAAATCAATAACTGCCATATGGGCTGTATGCTTTTCTGTGCTCTCCATTAAAAAAAAAAAAAAAGGGAAAAGAAAAAGTAGCCGGAGCAAGTATATGTGAGTTTCTCTTGGTTTTCTTGGCTAAGGGCAGAGGGAAAGACCCACTAACCAAGCGGCACTTCTAAATCATACCTGTCATAGCTCTAACAACCAAGAGACTGCAAGTCGACTCGGACTAGACACTATGATACCTGGAACAGGTCTGGTGTGTGGACATGGGCAGGGCTGGGACCAGAGGACGGGGAAACTGGTCTGTTCCAGTACCCCTGAGATAGACACCATATAAACACAATTACAACCAAAATGCCTTGGGAAGTATTATTATTTGATGAGATGAGAAAAATTTGACTGATGAGAAAACGGAGGTTCAGAGATTTCTGTTTGGATCCGAAGCCCCTGCCATGTTTTTAGGCTGTAGGATTATGGTTTCCTACGTTGGCTCTCAACTCCTGGAACAAATTTGCAGCATTTATACCGGTGGCTAGGAGTCTTGGAGTCCTTAAAGTCTCTGAGCCTGGGTTGAATGGAGGTGGGGTTACTCTTCAGGGATGTGTGTTTATAATCCTGACTTTGAAAGCTCTGAATTACAGCAATGAGCGGCACGGAAGCTTAGAGCTAATTAACAACGTGGGCCTTTCTTTCCCATGAACTGTAACTAGGAACTCTGCCATTTGGCAACCTTGAACCTTCCATATTTCCCACTTGCTGAGGTCAAAAGTTAGAGCCCTTAAATAGCACATGACTGACGGTGGGGGTGAAGGGTAAGAGACATCACACATTTGCAACCAGATCAGGGGAAGTGGCTTGCTTCAGACAGATGGAGCGAAGGGGAGGAGGAAGCAGGTTTTCTCCGGCCCACCATATTCAGGTTAAACCCCTCGTTCCTGGAGCCTGCCCCGCTTGCTGCCCCCTGTCCTCGCTAGGGAGCCTCCCATCCCACCCGAAGGCCGAGTTTCTTCCTCTGCTGCCTTGCTAACTGCAGGGAACAAGACCCAGAACTGCCTGACCACCCATCGCTCCCAGGTCTGATTTGGCGCCTTCCTTTACAGTGACTGAGGACAAAGAGGGGCCAGAAGACAAAACAAGGGAAGAAAGACCAGGCAAACAGGAGGAAAGAGGGTTAGAGTCAGACACCTGGGGGAAGGCTAATGGAGAGAGGAGGAGAGAGGGGCCCAAGACTCTGTGATCTTAATCTTGGAGAAGGACGGGCCAAGGAAGGATACAGGGCCCAGGGAGCCCCCGGTCTGGCCGTGCCCACTCCATGGCTTCCCAGGAGCTTATAAAGAGCTCCGCAGCTCTGAGGAAAGGAATGAGGCACTGAATTCAAGGGAGAGATTAATCAGTTCTCCGAGAATTCAGCACAAGGCAGAGGCTTTTGTTTTTTGTTTTGTTTTGGCAAGCAAGAAGCAAATGCAGCACTTTGGCTATTTTGGGAGGGTGCTGTGAGCTGTGGGGGGCCACGCAGGCCTGCTCCCTGAGGACGGTGAGGCTGACTGTGTGTGGCCTCCATCAGGAGATGCTAAGGAGTTCATCTGGGGAGGGGAGCTGGATTTGGCATGTGGATACATAGCTGGAGCGTTGAGTAGATCTGAACTTCAACACAGCTGCTAACCCACGGCGTACACACCAGGCTGGCACCGTTAGAGACACAGCACGTCTTATGTGTTTTTAATATCTGATTTTATCTTATCTGACCCTTTCATTTCTCAGGCTTGGCAGACAATGCTAAGAAACCTTTCCTTCCCCTGCCCCCCCCCCCCCCCACCCCCGTAAGGAAACGACTATGTCTTTGCACGGCCTTTGGGAGGCTGGCACGTCTGGGAGTGTGGCGGCACCTGGGCAGGGGCGTGCACCCACGTGCATGTGTACCTGCCCGGCATGGGGGCTGGTCTTCCTGCAGAGGCACGCACGTCGTCACAGGCTTTGGGTGAGCCCCTTGGACCTCTGTGTATAGTGACACCCGTCAGAAAGGGAGGCGGGCACACGGCCCCTCTGCTTAGACCACCTACCCGGCTGCTCCCACGGCGTGTCATTCCGCCTCCTGTTTCACTCCCTCTGCTCCTACTCCCGCCCCAAACCACACGAATGCTTGTTCAATGTGGCCTCAAATTGCCTTTTGGATTTCTGAGCCTGCTTCCTTCTTGGTTTCGTGTGTGCCCTTGACTTTGCACTCAGATCTGCCCCTGCTCTCCGGACCCTTTGCGGAAGGAATATCAGCTTATTTAACTAAACTCTTTATACACTTCTCTGAGTGTGGCAGAGTGTGTGGGGGGGAACCCCCCAAACACCACCAACGTCGTGCCAGGGGAGACAGGCTGTTGCTGCTGAGCTCATGAGTGTGGGCAAATGTCTCTACCTCCCCCAGGCCCCAGTCTCCTCCTCTATGAAATGAGTTGATTTGCCAGCTCCTTTCTGGCCCCCAGATTCTAAGGCTTTCTGCATAAGAGTTTCCAAGTAGAACTGTCCCAGCAGTGCCCATTTTGTGAAGGGTATTTTAGTTGTTCAGTGTCTCTTAACACCTAAGTGCTTTGGTGGACGAGGGCTGTGGGTGTTAATACGCTTCAAAGAGTGCCCGGGACACACGGTGAGGGCCCCACTCAGAGGGAGAGTACACCTTGTTGATGTTTTCGCTCAATAACAGCACCAATTATTAATAATGAAAAGTAATGAATAACAACACCTTAGTCCTTACATACTGACTTTCACCCAAAGATACCAAAGTGCAGTTTATGAAAATCCATTTTTAATGAAATATTAAGCAGTTTCTATTTCTCCTGACCCAATGGATTTACAAGGTCTCTATTTTTCTCCCTGCATCTTCCTATTTATAGCTGGAAAATGCTATCATATATTATACATCTTTATGACTTTCTCAATGCTTCTGTGGTTTCAGAATCACCCTTCATATGTTTTCTGATCAAATTCTCGGAGATGGATTCTTGGCTTCTGGTCTAGGCATTGCAAGGTAAGGGGTTGTGTGCATGGGAAATGATGCCAGGAAATTGGTTTTATTCCCTATTCCCTGCCGACTCCCTGAATCACTATAGGCCAATCAATAATCCTTAGATACCTTGGTTTCTCCTTCAGGAAAATGAAGTCGATAGGAGGTTTGCCGATAGACGCTAAGGTCTACCAGCCCTCCCTCCTTGATTCAATGCCTGCACAGCCCCCAGGACCGATGTTAGAGTTGAAGCTACGTCATACCTAACACATGGGTCTCTCTGTTCGATGGGGAGGGTTCAAGGTCTGAAAGCCACTGACTCCCAAATCCCACCTCGGGGCCCCAAATTTTCAGGCCATGACTTGACAGAAAGGTGTCCGTAACGCTAAGAAAATTCAGTGGGTCGTCAGCGTATGGGACACCCTGATAAGTATATACCAAACGTGATGATCACATCATAGCATCTGCTTTAAAAGCTAGATGTCACAGATGGTAGGCATGTTTGCTAATTTTTAAAAGCAAAATACTAATACGGTTGCTTTATCACCCAAAAGAAAACCAGAAAGTGTGTTCAAGGTGTCTCTAGCCTTCTTAAGAGGTAAGGAGAGCATTGGTGGATGTAATTATTAGATTGTGTGTGTGTGTGTGTGTGTGTGTGTGTGTTTATGTTGAACACATAGATTTCTTCAAATGCATCTCTGCAAACCAAGTTTAAGAAGCAGTTCAGGGCACAAAGTGGTTTGGACAATCCATTTGGTGCCTTGCTGAATTCTGAACATAATCCAACACTTCCCAATTGATTCTTGAGACCTTTGGTTTATTTTCAGAAAGACAGAATCTGAAACCAGCAGCACTTCAAAGATTTTCTGATTTGCACCTCTGGAGGGGAGGGGACATCTGCCAATTAACTTGGCGGCTATCCAACATCCCAGTGTGGTGACTATCTATACACCCCACCCAGGAAAAGGAAAAAAAAAAATCAACATGTTTTGACCACGCCTAAGAGCTTCTCAGCAACGGGTTCTAATACTATGTTCTAATACTATGTAGAATCAAAGGAGGTAATACATGTGATCTAATAGG